TTGTTTTCCTTAATCTAGTTGCGCTTTTAGAGTTGTAGTTGCAGTTTGCACTTCAGGGCCCCCGTACTTTTGTTTAGAAACATGCAGGTTGAAACGAGAATCTTCACCAGCATATTGCACTCCATTTTGGGAAAGACACCCTCAGAATAATGCTCGAGCAGGAAACTTGCAGATTATAGGAACCATCTCGTTTCAATTTGCATGTTTCTAAATAAAAACAAGCCCTTGTGGGGCTACTGTATAAATCCCCGACCTCAACGCTATTTCTGACATTTTGAAATTGAAAAAGCTCCTGGATGGGAAGAGAAACCTCTTCAAACTTGGAAACAAACTCCAGTGGATTGTTTTTTTTTTTTTTTTTATTTGAAATGGCTATGACCTTGATGACTGAAAATCTTCACCAGCAGGTAGAAGTGTAGATGTAGGCCTTTAATAAAGTATTTAATTCTCCTCTAACTAGATAAAACTCTTTCAAATTGGATTGTTCTGAAAGTCCAATAATTCCAAAACAAAAAAACAAGGTTTGGAAAGAATAAAGCACATTAACATTAAGCTTCTAGAATGGCTCTGACCTCAATTGCATTGTAAATATATTAGCTGTGCTTAAACACTGGGTTGTTACCTGAAAACCGAGAATCTGGCAAGGTTTAATTAGCTCATCTCTACAAAAATGTATGCAGTAATTTAGGAGAAACCAAACAGTCCACAGACATCAGGTAAAGCCCAATATTGAAATGCCATTTTTTCAGATTATCAGTGTGGGAATGCTGATTAGATCCTAATTTGAAATCTTCTACAGTTTCCTAACACTCCTCTTTCTGTCTGTCCCCTCAGGGGAGTGAGCTAGGTTGGAACTCGATTGTGACTCTCTCTGCAGCCGCAGCACTGCTGCTAGCAATGGCTGGCTTGTTGAGAGCCCTGGTCCGGTGTTGATTGGATGGGAGGGACGTCCGCTTCAAACCAGCCTGTGTTCTCTCTCCCTGCCACATAAACAGACTGAACTGGAGCCCTTTCAATACAACACACCTAAAAACAGTATCATAGATAACATGCTGAGAAGTTTGTTCTCTGGGGAGATTGGTACTACATGGAAACACGGACTGAGATGGGCTCAGTCTAAGCGCTGCGACGATGAGCTGCCCTGCAGCACAAATCAGGAGTAATTCATTAAATAGATGTATGCTAATGTTGTGTCAGTCCTTTCTGAATAGGATCTTCTTCTCTTTTAATATGTGACAGAATTAAGGTCTTGTTTATTAATGTTTCCTAATTAGAATGTCATTAATTTGTAAAACTTGATTATTTAATTTTTTGTGTTTTTTCTTGTATTGCTCATAAGTGTTTCTGGTAATATTGAAAGTAGTTCTCCACCTGTAAATCTTTAAGAAAGCTGGCTGTTAGCATCACCAATTTATAAACTGGCAGCCAGTCATTTCACACCGTATGTTTTTATCTGCTATTTATTTTTAAATCACTTGTTTTTATTGTAAAACTAATTTAATTTAGCTCCTCTTCTTCTTGAACTAACTGATCTATGCTTGCCTTAACACTTTGAAACCTAGTCCTTTAATTTGAACTAACTTTGCATTATAGGTCGACAATAAGAGTTTCTTTAATCTTTATCTCTTGTTTTAAAACAATTCAGTCGTTTTCTAAAGAGACGCCGAACTACGGAAGGGCCACTGAAAAAAAAAAAAAAGTTAACTGATTTTTTTTTATTTTATTTCAGTATAGTCTGAGAAAAAAAGTTAGAATTCTGATATTAAAGT